CCCGTTTGAGTGTTTCTCCTGAGTCTCTTCAGTTGTAAAAAAAAAAAAAAAAAATGTCACACTACAAAGGATGTTATGACCTGATGTACAGCAGAGGAGGAACAGAGGCCCTTTGTTTGAAAGCTTTATAAATCTCATGGTCTTAAAATGATATAGTTACTAAAACTTTGTGCTTGCTTTTTGCAGTCCCTCTGTCCCAAAACTCTTTGATAGACCCTCTGACATAAACTCGAGTTTAGGCCCCAGAGGTGGAAAGCTGAAACATGGGCTCTTGGCTTGATCTGTAGTAATCATTTAGCTCACTCTCAGTTTCAGTCTGGCCCCACGTGAAAGTGGCACAAGCTGTTGTTTGGCCTCCCACATCGCAGTGTCCCTCTGCTCTTATTTAGCTCAGGGGATTACTGAGCCAACTTGAGCAGGATTAATGGAGGAGGAGAAGGAATTCCCTTTGTACAGTGAGAGCAGGAAATGAACTGGGGACGGTGCAGCCGTAATGCATCTGACATTTGGATTGCCGTGAGCTTTTTCTGTTTAACCTCACGCTGTGTTGGTTTATAATCTCAAATGCTTTGGTTTGGATGGTGTAAAGAAACAAAACTTTGCGACTGGGGGCTTTTTAAATGTGGAGGACCTTTTGTCTGTGTCGAACAGCTTTAAATCGGCCTCTCACTTGGTTTCACCTGGCTCCACGTTAATCTCAGGAGTTATGTTTATGATAAGTGCAGCCCAGGCTGTTTCTCTTATCTCTTCTGTTATTGCTTGGTCCTTGCGTGGTATTTTGACTCAGCCGTTACAAGTCTACAAGATGCAGGTGCCTGTATGTCATGTACTTACGTGGAAATGCTGTGTCCAAGTGTGAAGATAGATAACGTGACATCAATTAACTTTCATTTTCACTAAACTACAGGTATTGCACAGGATATGACGTAAGCTCTTTGTTCTTTGAAGGGAATACGTGGCCATTTGTATCTTCAACATTTATTTTTAAGTCACCTTTTCAAATGTAGCGTATAGGTTATGGGATGCATGTGGGTTAATTAATATTCAGGAACGGACAAGCCTCATGGACAGTAGCTCTCCCAGTCTTTTCTCTTGGTCTCTAAACAAATTAGAGGGAGACAAAAACACTAGAGCCGAGCTTTGTAATTGAATTACATTTGACATGCTCCCCAGAGAGTATAATTCACAGGATACTAAAAGGCTCAGGCAAACTACAACATGAACAAATTAGTTTGTTTTGTACTTATCTCGTAACAGTACTGCTGGAAGGGAAAAGGGATTTAGAGGCAGTTTGGAAAAGTGGTGTATTACAAAGATCACCCGTGGCTCTGGTCGTGTATTGTCCTTCATGGAGATTTAATGTGCTTAACTTAGGTTTTCCTTTTTTTTCTGTTTAATCCTGCTGTGAAATAACATGAAATATGTCCCATTACAGCTTGTACAGGCACTGTTGACTCTTTATTTTTGCAAAGGTCTCCAGTCACAGTCAGATTTGGTTATTTGAAATGAGATAAGGAGGAAGCACTGAGGTGGATGTGAAAGAGACATTTGTAAAGTAAAGTAACCAAGCTTGTCAATATATGCCCAGGGGAATCGTTTGCATGAAGCAGACCAAATCAGCTCACATTCATGGTCACATGTCATTTAACTCCCCTGCTCTGTTCCCGTACACAGAAGTCTGCCTGTGCGTAGAAGAATATATCTAAGACATAAAAGCATTAGGGCTGGGCAATATGACTTCAAATCAGTATCACGATTATTTCAAAATTTTACCTCGATTACGATGAATGAACAATTGCTTTGGTGCCAATTGGTCTCTCTTTTTTTTTTTGAAGCTCTGCACTCTTCATATTCACCAGTGGGAGTGTGTTCCAAGTAATTAAACCGATTGATGGTGTTACCTTTGTTTCGTGTTTGCATTCGACTTCTTTTTATTCGGTGTCACTGAAGCCAAAATGTGCCAAAATAAGGGTGAGTGAACACAGAGGTAACGTAGTATTTTTTTAAGGGGGCAGTTCATTGAACGCAGCATTGGGGGAAGTAGTAACCAAATTAACTGTCATGAGCAAGATTAAGTCAGTGAGAGTTTCTAAACTTTTCCGGTCAGTTGCGTAGCACTAGACGGCATAACAGCATAAATACAGGAAACAGAAAAACTAGCCTCTGTCCAAAGGTGACAAAATCTACCTACCAGCTCCTCTAAAGCACACTGATTAATATGTTATATTTCATTTCTTAAATCACTTTACAAAGATTTGGTCTATTCTGTCCATGTAGCAACTTAAAAGAAATAGCTTTTTTATCTTTAGCATCTCACATTAAGTAGATTAGGATGGAAGGGAAAAAATGAGGGAAAGGAGTGGTGGACTTGATACTTTGCTTATGTTTTGACTACAAGATCCAGTTCATGTTCATGCCAGCTTAATTCCATTGTAAAAGACTCATCTTGCTGCATGCTTTTCCTCTGCTGGCTCTGAGCTCAAGACAAAAAGGAGAAAAGCTATCAAAAGTATTTTTAATTAATCTTCCATGAGGACATTATCACCAAATTCAAAATCGCATGCCCCCTCTTTCTTGTTCACGAGCAGCAGATTGATAAGGAGTCATGGTCTTTCTTAGATTAGTGATCTTTTCCACATGTGAGACTTGTGCTTTAGTACAGTGTTATCATCAAGGACACAGCATTTCTTAAAGCAACTGGGGATAGGCACGGATCTCAGTGGAAACATTTATCCCCTCAGTGGTCGCAGCCTTGTGGGCTATAGCTGAGCCGTCATCTCCTGGAAGGTGATTTTACTAACTGAATTTCCTCTTTGAGGTTTCCTGTGGTTAAAGCAGTTGTGATGTTGTTGCTATGAGAAGACAACACTCAGTTTCTAAGGAAACACTCAAAACAGAGAGTGCACAGGCCTCATTTGCAACGCCACAGGCATATTTGCTTGTCACATAGTGACTGCAGCCTTTCTTCATGAAAGCGCTGTTAAATTGCACATTTTCACTGGTGCAAACCGATCCTGATGTGCCGCAACAACGTCTGTCTGTATTGTGTGTGTGTGTGTGTGTGTGTGTGTGTGTGTGTGTGTGTGTGTGTGTGTGTGTGTGTGTGTGTGTGTGTGTGTGTTTATGGATGTGAATTCCTCTGTCTGTATGTGTTGGATGTGGTTAAAAGCTGTTGTTTCTACTGTTTTTAAACTTCTGATTTTTGATTTGTCAGTTTTGCATGCAGATTGTCAGCAGAGGAAATTAGCCTTTGCCTGCTACCTGCCTTCTTTACATATTACAAACCCGTGAAGCTAGCAGAAGGAAATCCATCATGCTCTGACGCCTCATGGACACATGTGTCTTCATTCACTTCCGCTCTGGCCTGATAGTCAACCGCAAAGATGTTTCAGTTGTGTGAAAAAAATCATTATTTTCCCATGCCATGATGAAAGCCTCTGTTCTTTTGTTCCACTCCCCTCCCGGCCTAAATGAGCCTGTTTATACCACTTTATAGGTCCTGGGCCGCACCTAACGAATCTGTGAGCCATTTCCTTTATGTGAAGAATAAACTATGATGTGAATGGGGCTACAATTATGTGAATCTGTTGACTCCCTTCCTATGTGGGTGGTCAAGGCAGGAAGCAGACCATGCATTCACTCTGAGCACTTGCAGAGACATACAGAGCTTAGTCACAGTTTCCACGCTTGTTCATTAAGTGGCTGCTCCTGGCATTCGAACAACATCTTACAGGGAGACGTCGTGCTGATAGCAACAATGCTCAGACCAACCTGCAGCCAGTAAAAGGGGATGTTACTAATGATCCAAAGCAGGAGGAGGAAGCAGCGATATCAGAGATAATTTCATTTTATTTTGATGGTAATTTGAAGCTAGCATTGCCATTCGTGAGTGGTCAAACTTAGAACAAGATCTGGTTTGTCACTGTTTGCCAAGATACGGTCCAACACTCCACACTGCAGTCTAATAATACCACGGATCACAGGACATACAGACAAGGAGAAATTTGTCTCCCAAATTGAGCTTTGAGTCTTCATTATCTGCCTGCAGTCTGAGTCGCAGTGCCAGAGTCTCACCCCGCTGACAGCACTCTAATGAGGATTTTTGGATCAAGCTCCACATTTTTATCTCCAGCTGCCCACCAGAGCAGATTGGGACAAAACAACTGGTTTCTGTTGTCAGGTGTCTTCTTCACACTGTGTGTTCATATCTGTTTGTTCAGTATGTTACCCAGCGAGGGTGAGAAGGCATAGCCATGTGATCATAACAAGCACAGTCACTGTTTTTGCTGCCGCCACTGCTGCACTTGCCTTGTGGTTTTAACTGGCTGATTTGATCTTTCACGACAGCCAAAATGTTCCCCTGTTTGCTGTCATGCTTCAGCCCGTACCTTCTGGAAAAGCCACATAAAAGCAAATAAGACTCGCAAGTTAGATGCTTACATTGAATCTAAAATGTCACCAGGCCTTCCTTGATGTTGATGCATTTATAAAATTGACTCTTTGCCCTGCCTTCATTATAAAATGAATGATGAATGATGAATGTTTTTAAGGCATTCGTACATTTTAGAAATTGAATAAAACGGGCTCCACCACAGAAGGAAATTTGTTATAAACAAATTAAACATAACACAATACAAATGATAAACACAACAAACATCACAAATCATCAGCAATATGTGTGCAAAAATTGATACTACTTGAAGTCTCCTGGCAGGGGTACATTTTAATTCTGTCTGTCCATTATATTGATTGCACATGATACAATTTTTTTTTTACCAGTGGTGTTTTATAGCATCTTCCAGAAAGCATTAACAGTATTATGCAGAGCATCCAATCCAATTTTGGTTTGCGACCTACACAGTACAATTTGTTAGAACATCCATTCATGGATGTTCTAACAAAACTGTCCTACTTGTTTTTGTCACTATAATTATTTCTGAAAGGTGAATGAAGTCTGACCAAACCAAACATTAAAGTTGGTGTTTGTTTGTTCTGTGCAGGAATCCTCTTCTCTACGCTGGTGTTTGGGCCTGCCTGTGGCTTCATCCTTGGCTCCCTCTGCACTAAATTCTATGTGGACGCTATCTTCATTGACACAAGTGAGTTTCATATTTTTCCAGTGTTGCGTTATATGTTGTGTTTCTCTGTGCGTGTGGTTTATCGACTACTCCTGTGCCTCTCCACAGGTAAGCTGGGCATCACTCCAGATGACCCGCGGTGGATCGGGGCCTGGTGGGCAGGCTTCCTCCTGTGCGGTGCCTTACTCTTTTGCTCAGCTCTTTTGATGTTTGGCTTCCCACAGTCACTGCCGACCAAGGAGAGAGAGGAGGGGGCAGACAGTGAGCAAGTTATGCTTCCTCCCTCTCTGAATGCAGACTATGAGACTCCAAAGCCCAGCAATGGGGTTGTGCACAACCACGAGGCTGCCAACAGCCCCACCTGCTGTCAGCAACTCAGGGGTGAGCGAGCAAGATCCAGTGTAGTACTGCAGTGTTTGTACGCAAGGAGCATTCACATTCAAATATAAAATACATGTCACATATTGATTCATGTAAGAGGAAGTAAGGAACTCTAATTAAATAAACATTGTGCTACCAAAAAGTAAAATTACTCCAGCACATGTAACAATTCTACATTAAGCTTGTACCTTAAATAAAAGTACAAACGTACTGTCAGCAAACTTTCTAACACATTTTCCACAGTTTTCCCTCTCAGAATTATATTATATAATATAATATATTATATTTTTACTTTAGTAAGTAAGCAGCATTTAATTATGTAACTTTTTTATCATGTTGGATTTCATTTATAAAATCATATTATAAAATCATATTTTACTGACTTGTCACAGGTTTTGTGTGTAAAATCATTTTCTGCAAAGTCACTAGTAATGCCAGCTGTGAAATATATGTAGTGGAGTAAAAAAGTACAATATTTCCTTCTGATATCTGTTAGAGTAAAAGTATAAAGTTGTATGAAAGTAACCAGTACTCTGGTAAAGTAGTACTTGTACTTGAATAAATGTACTTAGTTTGCAGTTTGTTCCACCACGGCAGCTGCTCACATGTTTTAAAAGTAGAAGCACTCAACATAATGAAAATGCTGTTACATAAGCTACTTCATCAAGCTAAACTAGTTTTCAGTCACTGGAATTAGCTCAGATGTGTCTGTTTCACACAAATATATATATAAAAAAGAAAAACAGCTTTGGAAGCTCTGCACTTTATTCCATTGAGATTTCATTGATTTATTATTTATGTCATTTGATTGCCAACCAAATTTAATCATATGTGATCAGAACAGGTGAACAGGTGAAGGCAACAAGAGAAGCCTGTCTGTCCTGTTCATCCCTTCCTTATTTCTTTATGACTAGTGATCCCCAAGGTGACCAAGCACCTCCTGTCAAACCCAGTGTTCACCTGCATCATCCTGGCAGCCTGTATGGAGATCGCTGTAGTGGCCGGCTTTGCAGCCTTTCTGGGGAAGTACCTCGAGCAGCAGTTCAACCTCACAACCACATCAGCAAACCAGCTGTTAGGTCTGTATTCAGAGCACGCACACACAAGCTCACACATGCATCGTCATGCACTTGGGTATACCAGTATGATAAATCTTTTTTTCTTTTTGAAGGTATGACAGCTATTCCGTGTGCATGTCTGGGGATCTTCATGGGCGGGCTGCTGGTGAAGAAGCTGAACCTGTCGGCGCTGGGAGCTATCCGCATGGCCATGTTGGTCAACCTGATATCCACTGCCTGCTACGTCTCCTTCCTCTTCCTGGGTTGTGACACGGGTCCCGTCGCAGGAGTGACGGTCACATATGGCAACGAGTAAGAGAGAACCTGAATATTTGACAGCCATGTTTATTTAACGCTGAATACAGGATAGGGCAGGGTAGGCATTTTGAAAACAGAAAACTTAACAGAAAAGCAGAGCAGGAAAAAAAAATTTCAAATAAAACAAAGGGGAAAAATCACTGTAGACCTAGTATGTAACCAGTATGCAAGGGGGATGACGAGGGGTCACAAGTACACAGTTCTTCATTTTAAGAGGCTTACAAGCCAAAAATGTAGTTCTTGCTCTTATTATCAGTCTGAACTACATAGTTAAAGTGAGTATGTGAGATGTTAATCATAAAGTTCCCTGGTTTCAAATAGTAACTGAGAGTCCATTTTCATGACAAGGCGGGCATTGGAACAACTAACCAATCACATGCAGCTTCAGCAGATGAGGAAGTTGTATTGTATTGTATGTAGAGTTTTTATGCAAGTGTTGCCCAGGAGGAAATTAGTTCAGTTCAGTGTCAAAAACCAACATGATTCAGCAGACAAAGATACACTTTAGATGATAATGAACAAACTATAGAATACAACTGAAAATTTCAGTGTGTTTTAATGCCCTAGATTGTGAAATAAATGCATAGTTAACATTAGTGTCTTATGACCCAGTTATCCTAATAAATAAATATGAGCAGCTAACAACAGTATAACAGAGAAAGGTAACACTGCTGCCAAGATTAGAGGATTTCATTGAGAGTCTAATTGTGTAAATAAAAATTCTTATCACTGACAGTCTTTCGGCCACAGTGGGCTTACTTTTTGTTCAGACAACTTTGTGTTATGTCATGGAGACTAATATTTTCTATGCAGAAAGTGGCCTCATGTTCCTGAGCGCTGCACAGACTGAACGAGAACGGACTTCACCGAACCAGTCACCAGTTTAAATGCAAAATGAATATGTAACTGGACATTTAAATGGCTTAAATAACTGGTCAACTGTAACTATTTGCTCTTGTTGTATATACAGAGGCATTTATTTATTATTATTTCATAAATGAAGATGGATCACCCAGACTGTATCACTTTTAGTTAACTCACTGTAGCCAATTTTTTTTCAAAAGCTGAGAATCACTTGAAAGTTTCTAATATTAGAAGCAGCTTTATTTGTGCAGCATATTTCAAACACAGAAGCAATTCAAAGGGATTTACATAAGCAGAAGAAAAATATATATTTTTTAAAATTTAAAAACAAATTTTAAAAAGTACACAAAATGAAATAAAATACAAATAGACTAAAAATAATGATATGATACCCAGGCTTATTGTTGCCTTTATTTCTTGTTACTTCAACATGAAAGCAGGATTTTTGTCCATATGATGATCATGTAGAAATAGTGACTTTAGGCTTTTACTACTTTTCGATTTGTTAGCCTGAACCCAGCCTGCTCCAGAGCAGGTGCAGCTGTGCAGTGCAGTTTCCATGGAGATGTTAAAAGTGAACCAGAGACCCATGTTGTCACTGATAAAGAGCAGAGAGTTTTTCTTCAATTTTGTTTGTTCCTCGGACAGATATAGTTGGTACTTTCAGTGGGAAAGGGGTGCTCAGGTTTTTCTGTGTGTCTCTGTTCAGGACGCTTCGAGTGGGTGAGAAACCAGAGGCTCAATGCATCAGTCACTGCAACTGCTTCACCTCCTCCATCAGCCCTGTGTGCGGCTCCAACGGTGTCACCTACCTGTCCGCTTGCTTCGCCGGCTGCACCCGAACAGGAAGTGCTCAGACCACATCGAATATCTCTCAGGTCTTAACACTACAATTACTTTGTGATCAATGAGAGTAATCTGAAAATGGAATCACAATCTCTGCAGGCTATAGTTATCTACCACCTTGCACTGCAGGAAAACTATCGTTTTAATTACAAATGATGCAAACATTTCCATTTCCAAACATTTCTCTATGTTCTGTTTTTTTTTTTAATATTCAAAGTAAAACAAGTCCCAGTATTTCATAGTTCTGTCATCAACTAGCACTTGTTGGGCAATAAAGTGGTTCTGTCGCTTTACTGAGATCAGATGCTCTCTGCTCAGCAGCACAAAATCTCACTGTAACTGCTTTTACTATTACTCTCTCACTGCAGCAGTTTTAGCAGTCGTGTTACTTTTTTAAAGTGCAGATCATTTGGTTCCACCATGTTAATACCAGGCTTTCTCCTAAATATGAAAATAGTGCACACCAGATGTAACATGCGTTCCCCGTAATTTCATTTACAGAACTTGACGGGATGTACTTGTGTATCCGCTGACACTGAATCCGCCACAGCAGTTCCAGGGAAATGTCCAACGCCGGGCTGCCAGGAGGCTTTTCTCATCTTCCTGTGTGTGATCTGTGCCTGCAGCCTGGTCGGAGCCATGGCCCAGACTCCATCTGTCATCATCCTAATCAGGTATGTTTTGTGGATGGAAACGTATGAGAGTGCAGTGTTTGTGAAGAATACATGAATAGGTTTGATCATTCACAGAATCCAGTTTGAAAATAAAACACAGTGATTTATTCTGTCTGCTTGTCTTGAAGGACCGTGAGCCCTGAACTGAAATCATACGCACTTGGAGTGTTGTTTCTTTTGCTACGACTTCTCGGTAAGAACTGTTTAACAGCTTTTATCAGACGACACATTATTAATTTTAAACACTCTGGGTCTGTCTCGGTACAAGTGTGACACACTGACTGAGACACACTCAGATAATCTCATCGCTCACACAAACACAGGGCTCCATTGACCTCAGAGACTTTATTGGCTTCATTTATTTCCACACAGAGAACAAATAAACTGAATTAACCATACAGCATAAGTTGATGACAGTGGAAAAACAAATGGAGGTGGGTGGAGTATTTGAACTAAGAATGTCTAGATCGTGTTATCAAGAAGCACGTGGGCATTCTGTACATAAAGAGACATAGCCTGATATTATTTTAAGGATGTCTGTGTTTGGGATGTCATGAAGAAGAATACATTTCTGATATTAAGTAATAAGCACTCGTGGAGGTTCTGCTATAGTTGTGTTTTGTTTGGATTTGGACTATTAGAACAGGCCCTGTAACTCTTCTGCTATTGCTCCTTGTCAAAGTATTTCTCTGTATCACTCTAATGTCTGTATGGTAAAGAAGAAGCTACTACCAGCGGCCAGTTATAGGTATAATATGTTCAAAAGTGCTGGTAAGCAAATTTTTGTTACCTTGACATAGAGCCAGGCAAGCTGTTTCCTTCTGTTTCCAGTCTTTATGCTAAGCTAAGCTAACAGGCTGCTGGGTGTAGCTTCTTATTTACCGTACAGACATGAGGGTGGTATAAAGTTTATCATCTAACTTGTAGTTAGAAATCTAATTAACATATTTCCCCAAATTTCCCTAAACTATTCCTTTAAGAATGGTTTGAACATTAACACTTTAAAATCTATGTGTAATAGTAGAGCAGTTATATAAACTTTATTTAATCGGGTAGTCTCATCGAGATGAAGATCTCTTGTGTAAGAGAGATGTGAGTACAGCAGAGAGAAAGAAAAACCAGCAGAGCCAGACATAATAAAAGCACATGCAACATTACTGACAGTCACAGGCATCATTAAGTGGATCCAGAATTGAAAGTTTGAAATCAGCCAGTGGGATGAGACATTCAACTCTTAAAATCCTCTGTAAGTGATTCCATTTCTAAAGTTGGAAAGTAGTCTTCCCAAGATCAGTGTTCACTAGAGTGGAACTTGAGATCCACCCTGGTGAGCAGGCTTTAAATTTGAGAACTGAAGTGGTATACTGAGGCTGTTGGCACAAGTATAATGTGTTTGGGTTCAGTAATGAAATAATCAAAAGAAAAAATGGCCAACTAATGATTCAGTATTAACCCAGATTGCACATAAAGTCATTTTTATGGAAACAGAATGAGTTTTGTTGTCTCGCTGTTTTACAGGATTCATCCCCCCTCCTCTGATCTTTGGTGCTGGGATCGACTCCACTTGCCTTTTCTGGAGTTCAGACTGCGGCAATAAGGGTGCTTGCCTGCTGTACGACAACATAGCTTACAGACATCTGTACGTGAGCCTTGCCATCATCCTGAAGGGCATCGCCTTCCTCCTCTACACCACCACATGGTATTGCTTACGCAGGAACTACAAGAAGTACATCAAAGGTCACGAGGGCTACATGACGCCGACTGAGTTTTACCCGTCTCTCACAGAAGGCCCCAAACTAGTTGACAGGACAAAGTTTATATATAACCTAGAGGACCATGAGTTTTGTGAAAATATGGAGTCAGTTTTATAGTTCGTAAAGCAAGAAAAGGACTAAAGGACAATGTGGACATTCATATTCTCTCAAAGGAATAATATTTTATGATTTTATTCTTCTTTTCTCGAAAGGATGAAACAAAATGTTTTTGATAAAGGCGATCTATTTAACAGCCCGTTCAGGTCATAGGAGACGTTGCGCTCCACTTCGCTCCACGTTAAACTTTCGAAAGGGTCCATTTTAGTTGTTTACGTTATCAGCGAGGTGTTGTCCAGTGTTTGCCGGTGAATTCCTGTGTTGACTTGGTGGTAGAAGACCTCTACAGTACTGTCTGGCTCAGTCCTAGTTGATTATTAGTGAGTGGACATGATGCTACTACAACTATAGTTGCCATATTGTTTTAGGTCTGTCATGATCCCAGTGATCTGTATGACAAAATGACAGTTTCCTTTCACTCAGTGCACTGTGTGTTCTGTCCGTCACTCTCAAAAATGAGATTCTTATGATTTAAAAAGAAAAAAAAAAAAAAAAGTTTGGGTGGTTCTTCAGTTATTCATATTTAAAAGTTGCCAAGTGTTTACAAACTAATAGTTCATCACTTAATGCATTTTATTTTGATGCAGAAAGGTTTCTTATTAAAAGAGAACAGAAACACTCTGACTGGGTTATTATAGTGGCCTATTAGATGTTTTAACTGTCAGAAAATCAAGTTTAATAACTTTAAAAAAAGATAGTGTTCTCATGTCATCATGCACTGTTCAGTTTCTTGTTCTCTTGCTGGATGATAGACACTGTTTTTGATACTGCTTGGACTAGACTGTGAAGTCTTGTCTTATAGGTGCAAATGTGCAATTCATATCTGATACGTCCATGTTTATAACTAGTCTTGTGTCAGACTGCGGGTTGGTTTTTCATTATAACAGTTTGTTTCATTTCCATGTTTGTTTTTTACATCTGCAGAGTTTATTCAGCCTAATATGTCTTAATAAGGGATTATTCAATTAAGAATGTTAATTTAATTTCTTTTGACTTTTGCACTTAGTGGAAGAGCAAAGACGAAAATCAAGATTAATATTTTTCAAGTAAAAAAGATTAGGAGTAATATATTTATTTCGTTAGGCCCAGAATGTTTTATTAGAGTGTGTTTGAGAGGAAAGTTTAAATTACATATAATCTAATTGTCTGAGAAGTGTGTGTCTGAGGTCACAAAAGATTTGGGACAATTCATGGCAATGAAAATACTATGTTACATCATTGGGAAAAAAAAACACACAAACTGTGTCTTCAAGCTAGGTCTGTAATATTTGGGATGAGGTTTTCAGAAATGCTACAGGAGGATGAGTTCAAGGTCAAACAACAACTGAACAACTGAAATTATTCCTGGACGTGGTTTTGAAGAACTCTTTGACGTGACTCTGCACATACGACCTGCTTCTCTACTGATCTCTCTGCAGTTACAGTTTTGACATAGTCCCTTTTCTTACACTTTTTGTATGGCAACATATCATTTATTTTACTCTGGAAATAAATTATTTTTCAGAAAATAAATTGAAATATGAATGTTTTTGCCTTTCTTTTACAGACTTTTTCATTTTAGAGAGCTGCTGTGTACAGAGTTATTGCATTATATTTGGTTTTGTTTTATTCTCTCATACAACCTGCGCAAAACACACTTGTCAATATATTTACAAGTCAAAAAAATGATGAAAACGAAAGACAGAAACTCAGTCCAATGATTTACAACTTATAACACAAACGATGTGATCCATGAAACTAAAGCGTCACACAGGATTAAAAACACTAATTGTTAATATAACCTATTTTCATAGTGGTCCTGGAAATCCCAAACCATGATAACAATAACAGGTCTGCTTTGTCTCTGTTACAATGCAGACGTACATGAAAGCTGTGACACGCAGATGTAATTATGGTAGATATGACTAATTATACAAATAGAGAGATAGATAAAATACTTTTTACCATCTCTCACCTCCTTCCATTTTGTTTAATAAAAGTTTTTTGCAGCTGTTTTTAAAAGCTGTAACAAATTCAATCTCGTGTTATCTGGTAAACTTTTCCAATTTAGGGGAATGATTTAGATCCAAAAGAACCAAAAGACAACACAACTGCCTATGTCCTGTATGTATCATATAAAAAATATACATCTTCGAATACTCTATTCCTACCAGTGATATGAAAATTGAATCTGAGCTCCTCACAACTTTGATATACTGAATATATTCTTTTACATCAGATTCTCTCTTCAACCTTTGAACATTCTCATTTAAGTATTGAAGCACCATAAAGTGAAGAGCACAGAGTTTTCAACTGTCAGTCTCTATTCAAGGTTCATCATATATTCTCAATATTGTACCAAGTGCTCATTCAGTGAGATGTGAGGTATTGAACTGAGAAATTAATGGACTGATGGACAAGATTTCTCATATTTTGATTCGCCCAGCAGCTCTATAGCTTCAGGTTTAGCTCTTAGATTTTAACAGTCACTTACTAGCTGTTCAAGCTGTACAATGTGATGCTAGATATCAAACAATTCACTGAATGCATTCTCAACTAAATCAATACACAACAAATAATGCGTGACATGGATCAAGTTTTTTTGAAAGTTTTATCATATTGCTACTTTGTTTTATTGTCTTATTAAAAGCTGTAGAACTTTCATCAGCATGAAAAGTGGATCAGGCTGATATTTGATATTGATATACTACATGTTATATATTCTCTAACAGCAAACACTGCTGAGGAGGACAAACTGTAAATTTATCCTAAATTCAAATGGCTGTATACTGAAAATATACAAGGCAGCCAAGTTGCAACCAGATACATTCTCATTTTCAAGAGTAATGTCCCTTCCTGAGTTACTACAAAAACCTAAAATAGCAGCCTTCTAAAACATTAGGGGGATTAAAAAAGCATTCTCAATTTATTTTCAACCTCTACCTTGGCCGACGGTCAGCGGAGGCTGAAATATCCCGACTTTTAGTCACTAGTATGGGTCAAGCTCAAGAAATGTTGGATCCTACATTTTCTGTAATGCAGCTACATCTTTTCAATCTCTTGAAAGCTCCTTCCAAAACAACAGAGGTCATCATGCAGCTAGTTTATATACAAAGTAGTGCTCCTCATGAGGAGAAATCTGAACATGTTCCTTTTAAGTGCAAGTTTTCACAAACATTTTCACCATAGGAGCGGTGATTTAAATTCAAGCGAACAGCAAGAAATAACAGATGACATTTCTTTGCAGTCAGCAATCACATCCCTGAAATGTTTCAAAAGGTCGCTCTCCAGGTCTCAACAAAAGACACTGTCACACCTGCACACAGCCAATTAATGGCTGACATGAGTCAAAGGGCAGTTTGGTTTGGTTGGTTTACTGCGCGTTGGCATGTTGTTTTTACACAGTGCACAATTTATGTGCTGTGAATTTGAAGAGTGAGCAGAGAAGCTTGTGCTTGAAATCTTCAAATGAATCAAAGAAATGACCAAAGTTGAAGCCCACCCCCTGCAGTTCAACAGAAACCCAGCCAAAAATAACCTTTTCTTTTTCTGGTAAGTGCAGAACACCCACAAAGCTCACACATTTCATTTCCTTGTCATCTTCAAACATTAGCAGATACCACAAAATACATTCTGCTGCACTGGAGTGAATTTCACATTTTCATGAAATCATATCATTGGGCTAAAATAAATAATTGACGCCATGTAAACGATAAATAATAAATTATAACTTTATTCAAAATGTTAACATTTGGCTCATGTAGCAGCTGCAGAAACAGCCTCTTATGAAAACAACATGTCATCATTACTATCACTTATAAGCGTTTGTAAAAGTAAATGTAACATGCTCTGAAAAATGAGAAAGTGTATAGTGTGTTTCTTCCAGTGTCTTTAATCTGTGCATGTGTGTGTGTGTGTGTGTGTGTGTGTGGCTGTTAGGTGGTTGTAAAGTCTAATAATAGCACAATGACATCTTCAACAAGGAAAAAAAAATCTTGTGCTTGACAACAGTATCAGCAGCATCTGCTTCAGTTAACAATACTCTCTCATACACAACTCACTCCTGATGTTCGTCACATCAAAGAAACACAAAATACAACTGCAAGTCACCGGGAGTTTGTTCTTGAGGAAAGTCAAAACCACACACACACACACACACACACACACACACACACAGACAAAAGCCACCAACCTTGAAATAGAAGCTGCTGCAGGCAAGAGTTTTCTCTTTTAATCAAGATGCATCAATTAGCCTAATGGGTGCCTCGGTAAGACGAACTGTTACGCAACAACTCTCGCAGAAGAAATAAAGCAATAAATCCTCAGTGCAGGACTTTGACTTACGTTCAGGGACATACTGTATATGTTTCAGTGAATATGAATCTGATGGAGTGACTGAGTTCAGACTGCTGACATTTAGATTTTCATGCCTGGATGCAGATTTTTCAAGAATAACATCACAAAAAAGTGTCAAATCACAGTTCTGTATATAAAATGCAGCGCGTACAGTTTTAATCATGAATCGGCATTAGCTAGAATTAGATATTATTACCAGGGTAAATATGATTATGATTATTCTCAGCATTATGTGCACTCTCAAGGCTCCAGCTGCACTTTTCACTTTATGTAAATTAGCCCTTTAGTCGTATCTATTAAATACAATTGTGTGGATAATGTATGCATGAAATTTAAAAAAAAACAACAGACAGAGACAGACAGAGTGTAATACTTCATTTGCAATTAAACACCACACTAAGCATGTGTTATGCGTGCAGGAGACTATCAGGTATGTTTCAGTCATTGTCAGCAAATAGATAATAATACAATGTCCCCCAAGCTAGAAGGACTAAGGGAAAGACCTGAGAGATGGTGAGGATGCTAATGATGAACAAATGTACTGAGTACTGAAACAACAACCCCCAAAATGTGGCTAAAATATTCCCACAGACTGTAATTATCTAAACTGATAGCTTCCAGTGTAATGTAGCTGCTGTAATCAAAATGTCCAATGGACAAACATTTGTAATTTATACATAATCAAAACGTTAACATGTGTTAACTCAGCACTTAATCACTAGTTAATTAAGTGGCAAATAGTGAACTGTGATGTAAATCATTGCTCTGAGTGAAATGGGTCTTTGGCGTCACTAATATTTTATCTGCTAAAGGTGTAGCCTAGCAAACAACATAGTGGCAAACAGCAAGAAAGACCAAACATGCCCAGCTAGCTTTTTCAGGATAAACATGAGCTTTAAAATGTATACTCAAAGAAAAGTCTAGACACAATGTAAAATTTGATACTGTTGCAAGTAAAGTCCAGCTTTCAAAATCCCGCATAAATAAAATTACAAATATCATGAACAAAGTAGAATTACCGCCTTGCAGTTGTATGCCTCCGCCACTCTGAGAAAAATGATGACAAAATGAAATTTTGTCATAATTGCTGTGTGAAAAAGTGTTTTGTGCGGTCTCACTGACCTTGACCTTTGATCTTTCGCCACCAAAATCTAATCAGTCCATCCTTGAGTCCAGGTGAATGTTTGTGCCAAATTTGAAGAAATTCCCTCAATCTTGAATCAAGAATGGGATGGATGGACAACCCGAAAACATAATGCCTACTGTCCTGGCCGTTGTCGGCGCAGAGGCATAAATATACTGAAAGTATGGCATTAAGTGCAATAAAATTGCCCCTGTGACTGATATATCTTTATACATGATATATCATTATATTGTTAATGCATCAATGTGTAAGCAGTATTTTAGTCATAACTGTTCAAGGTGGAACTAATTTTAACTACTTCATATTAAATTTGGTCAGAGCAGTGCTCCTGAGGGTCAGACTCCCTCTAAGGGTCACAAAATAAATCTGAGCTGTTGGAAAGATGAAAACACAAAGTTTGCTATAGGCACATTAATATTCATTTTTGGACTTCTGTCTGATCTTTCCTCTTTTGTGAAATAATGACTAACTTTTAACTCAAAGAAGAAAGACGTGATGAGGGGAAAATTCATCTGAAATGTAACAAGAGAACTTAATCACACTGCTTTTTTGGAAGGAACCACAAGAGAGAGAGAGATGGTGCCCACTGGTTTAATCTTTAACAATGTTATCATAGCTTATGCTTTGTTATGTAAAATCTTTATCCGCAAAGAAACCACTAAGCTGGAGCTGCCAAATGTATATAGTGGAATAAAAATGACAATATTACCCTCAAGTAATGTACTTCATTACTTTCCACCACTGGTAACCAAAACTATATAAAAAAAAAAAAGATGTCCCAATTAGCCTCAGTAGGGGTCTGATCCAGGGCTCACTGGCTCTGTTTAGTGGACACAAGAGATTCACTGAAGCTTTGACCTCTATTTTAAGATGTAGGATATCAGACCACACATCTCCAGTTGATTACTGCACTGGCAATGACCCCTCTGTGCTTGGATGTGAGTCTACTGGATGCAAACCTGCCTCACACACCTGTCTGGCTTCCTGCATACCGCAGTCTTACACCGCCTCTCTCGGAGAGCTCAACAACACCTGGGAAGTGAAATCAAACTGTGGCTCGTGTACATACGGAGAGTTGGCCCCTGCGCCTTTAAGACTGCATGTGGTCAGGTCTACATCCCGCTGTCCCCATGGCAGGCTGCGCGAGTGCACGCTTTCAAAGTTTGACTGGGGAATAGAGGTAACAGTGGAGACGGCAGCAGCGTCGCCCCGTCGGGAAACAGACACACGGCAATCATCATCTCCATGAAGGAGGGGGGAGGAAGGATCGCAGCTCGCCTGGGAGTGTCCGACCCCGGCGATAAGAACAAAGGGGGGGAAAAAAAATGACTGAGCGGATTTTCGATTTCTAAATGGAAAACACAAGGAGGTTAATGTAACACAGGGTCTGCTGAAAGGAGGGACTCCCGGCTGCAGCCTGCCCCTCAGCCATGCCGCTCGTATTCCGCACGCTGTTGTTCGGCTTTGTAACGCTGCTGGTTGTGGTTTTGATAATTGATGATATTGCAGAAGTGGAGGAAGAAACTGCGTAAGTAGCCCGCCGTAATTTACCCACGCATGAGGTGTGAGAGCGAGTCTGTAGTGTAGTGGGTTGTTTTCTTGTCCAGTGAGGTTCTTTCCTTCAGGCTTTTTCTCAAGATTTAGTTGTAGATATGAAGTGGAGAAAAGGGAATAAATGAGTGAAATAAGCGAGTTTATTTGAATTAAATAGAAGTTTGGAGTTGAATGTGGAGCGTGTGTGGCTTGTTTCTTCATTTGTAACACTTGGGTGCAGCAGTGGCAGCTGTTCCGACAGCAGCCTGCCTGGGTCTCCAAGGATTAGGCTATTTGTCTTGCAGCAGCCTGCATGCGGGATAGGATACATTTACACTATAAGAGGGAGTGTGTGTGTGTGTCTGTTTGTGTGTGTGTGTGTGTGTGCGAGAGAGAGAGAGAGAAAGACAGACAGGAGGAGATGGATGGGGAGGGGGCAACAGATTGGGAACAAAAGAGGCTTTCTTCTTTTTTCTTTTTCGTTTTTCAGACTTTGAAATGTTGAGCAGTGCAGCAAAAAAAAAAAAAATGTTCCAATTCACACACACATGCCCCACTTGCATTTGACCTGCAAGAAAATACCTTCTTTATTTAGCATCAAAATACTTGTGTCACATGTGAAACCAAACCAGACCTCAACAGGGCAACATCCTCCTCCTGGTCTCATTATTGTCATCACAAGCTGTGAAGATGTTGTGCTACCTGAGCAGCAAGTAAGACCCCTCTCTAAATCTTTTGGATTTTCATATTTCCCTTTCAGCAAGAACATTTTGTTTTGAATGCAATTACCCGGCTGTGGCTCACGTTGTAATGAGGTCATATTGGTTTGTGATGTGCCGTGGGAGAAGAACCAGAACCAATTGCACTTCTGCATAAATGCAGCTTAAACGTAGGAATATATTTAAAGGCCACCAGGTTTGAAAGAATGAGTGAGAACAGCCCACTTGTCTGTCAGAGCAGCACTCCCCAGTTTCAGTTTCACACAGCTGCTCGCAGCTTGTCATGATTTTATCACATGTGGCCAAGGTCATGATTGCAATATTGACTGATGCTTAAAAATCTAGATATACATACAGTATGTTTACTGTAAATGCATTTTGGCTCGTGCATTCGACACCCCTGTGGAAAGATTGCTCACTTCCCTGTGAAAAGAAAACCTCCTTTCAGTATAATGGGGCTCCATTAAGGCCACATTTCTCCTCATTACATCAGCAAATGGGCCCACAGTGGATTGCTCTAAAAATACCTTGATGTGTGCCTTTCACCCTCATTCTATCTTAAAAGATGGAGGTACAGCAAGCCTGCTAGTGAATACATTGGGAGCATTACTGTTACAAGATATGATTACGGGGAGGTTTTGAAGCATTTGTCCATTATCAACCAAGAATCCAGGCTGCAGCATATGGTTCTTAATTCAATCTAAATCCTTTTTTTTTTTTTGTTCTAGGAACACTGGACATTCAAAGAAGATGAACTTGCAGAAGCTCCTGCCTAAACCACACAGGTCGGAAATCCAATTATCTTCACACACACACACACACACACACACACACATATATACACAGTACATACACATACTGTATCATTATAGACCACTAGCGGGAAGCTTACTGGTCTCTCCATATAATTTTCAACTGGTATTGGTCATTTGATTCCTTTGCAGCTTTGATAACACAGTGAGTCATTCACAGTGAGTGTCTTGTTACTTTTCACAGAAAGAAGGCAGCTGCTATAAATACGCATCAGTGTGGAGGTATCCATGTGATGATGGGAACATCTGTCATAAGAATAAAGATGGACTCAAAGTTAAAGAATCCTGTATTTCAAATAACGTCACTTTATTGCATTTAAATTATTCTAAAGGTCACTGAAGCCATATCCAATGAAGTCAGTATTGTAGATACAGTGGTGGAGGGAGCATTCAGATACATTACTTAAACAGAAGCACTAACTAACCTAAAAAAACTCTTTCATGCGTAATTGTACTTGATTAAAGGACATAAGAGTTTCACAAAGTATCAAGTAAAATATGTCATCTCTGGGTGTTATTTCATTATTAAATTACTATTAGTATATCAGTGGTGCAGTAAATAAGTGTAAATACCATTTGACTTGTGATGGGTTGAGATGGAGCTACAGCTTTGAACTACATTATAGTACTGATAGATTGTTCTATAATAATGCATTATATTTAATATTGAAGTAGATCTTTGTGTGTAAACTCTTAATGTGCAATGTAACTGGTAACTAAACTGCAAAATGGTGTAGTGCAGTAAAAAGTTCAATATTTCTCTCTAAGAGGTACTGGTGTGAAAATGTAAAGAATAAAATGGTGAATAATACTAAGTTAAATTTGAACTTGTATAAGTACAGTTCTGAAGTAACACTATATAAATTATTCCCAAAATCACAGATCTGTCCCAAATATGACACCCTGGGAGCAACTCATACAAAAACCCTTCAGTTGAAATTCACACAAATAACAAGCTTTTCATTTCTGATTGATGAGAATTTGAAAGATCAGCATTGTGTGTCAATAACATGACTCTCCATCCTCATGTAGAAAGGCGGCGGCACACGTGGATCCAACTGCTTTGACAAGACTGAGCATAGATGTGAACCACCATCGGCCGAGCTACAATCACACTGCCAAGCTCTCGTCAAACAACTGGACCTTCAACAAGACCCTCTCCAACCTCATCAGGCAGAATCAGAATTCTCCACAATTATCTCGGCAAGGCTTTACACTTCAATAAGCGAAGTCTTTCATAACCAGTCTGTATCTTCTCCTTTGACAGGAAGAGTATTCTGAGATTCTTCGACCCGGAGAGAGACATCTCGATCCTCAAGGGCACTCTGAAACCAGGAGATATCATCCATTATGTTTTTGATCGCCACAGCACCACGAACATCTCAGAAAATCTCTACCGTCTTCTGCCAACTGTATCCCCCATGAAAAACCAACATCACAGGCGCTGTGCCATTGTGGGAAACTCTGGGATCCTGCTGAACAGCAGCTGTGGCCCAGAGATTGATTCGCACGACTTTGTTATCAGGTATTTTCTTTTTCCATAGAAACAGCATGAGTGATTTCAGGGTTGGAAGTCTTCCACTTGAAAAAAAATGATAAAAACCTGCAAGTTAAAGTAGACTGTAATTGAAATGGATTAGTAAATTAGTTTCAGTTTTAGGTTTATCTCACTTCTACTAAGGGTATAATTCACATTTGAATGATAATCACTTTCTCGAGTTCTCGGTTTAATTCAGGTTTGGAGTCGGTGCTCACACAGCTGGAAATATATTAATTGCACTTTTGAAAGAGCTGTCAAAGCCTTTTAATGATTTTAAGTTGGAAACAAACTTCCAGACTGAGAGCAATTAAATGCATGATTATACATGAAATTGACATTTTGAAAAAGCTTTTGCATCCGGCGGCAACACACCGTGTTTTGCAGAGAGACACCGGTACTCTCAGGGGTCCTGCTTTCAATTACCAGAGAGCTCTGTCTGTGAAGCCATCAGCCAGCCGTGTTTTGTGTTTGGGTGTAAGCAAAAGAGCCACTGAGTGGGTTATTTATCACTATTCATACTTGTCATTGCATGAAATCTGTCGAGAGTTATTTTATGATGGAATATGCAAAAAAGTTTTTTTAAAAAAAGTATAAAAGTATAAGTATTCAGGTTGGGAGTCTGTGTACATGGAGGGACAGGCGAACAAAGCAAACGCTATGTGCACTGGTATTTACTGTGAAAAACATCCACTCATAAATCAGTGCTGTTGTTGTATAAACCAAGCAGGAAGCTGTCTGTGGTAGCACCTTGTTGAGCTGATTGATCGATAGCTGGATAGACCTCAAAATGTCGGCATGTCCCTTTCTTTTTTTTTTTGTAATTCTGAAATTGATTCTGTTATCTTCGCATCTTGTCTCTTCTAAGTGCTGCAATGTTATGCTGATGAGGAGAGGTCATGATTCCTAGACTGTAGCAGCATGATGATAATGCCGAGGCTCGGCGGTAATGGTCGGGCTGAAGGCAGACAACAGGGAATGTGGCATTTTGAGAAGCTGAGGAATTTACTCTTGGCATTCACATATCAGATAGGGAGTTAATGTCTCAGCTAAATATAGTTCTCTGCCCTGTGCTTGGTTTTCACAAAGTAGGTGGACAGTGTTTGGGATGCTCGTTATAGATGATTTTAGCTCAGGGATAATTGGGTACACTCCTGCAGTTTAGTAGAACTTAAAAAAAGAAACAGCACTAAGTCGGCCGATGGTGCACATTTGTCACGTTTTCAGTTGTAATCTCTGGACAAACTGTTTCCTCATGCAGGTACATTAGCAGCCGTGCTTCACTGACAGTTTCCATTAACCTGTAAGAGAACCCAATGTCCCTGTCCAGAGGGCGGATCGATCGTATCAATACTGGCGATACTAAGTCTTGTTTTGAGTATCGCACACCGATCACCTAATTAGTTCGGAGAATTCACACAAGAAATATACGTTATTCACTATTAGAGACTGTCCAGTGTTTTAACAGGCGTGTGATTAAACATTGAACTCTTGTTAAATGAAATGTGTATTTTTGCAAATTGTTTGTTGGTTAAAAAAATATATATATATACCAAGAAGTAGTCTATTGATAATGCATGCAAAGATGGAGATGTGTGGTTTTCACTGGACAGCGAGAGCGAGTTGATACCAGAGTGTAAATTAGAGTACGAGGAGATACTTAACAAAAAAGCACTCCCGGTGTGTTTTCCTGCCACGCGTTACGAGAGTAGAAAAGCTCCACCATGAAGATAATAACCAGCTTTGTGTTTTCTGGCATTTATGAAGAGGCTGAGGTTAACATCAGTAAACTAAACACTATTCTGCTGAATTTTACTTGTTTTTCTGCTGTATTTCACTCCTGGTTAAAGTTTCTGCAGAACAAATGCTGTGACTAACCTTGGTGAGGTACAGATGGATGATAAATTACTGGAGAAAGTCAAATAAATGTGTCTTACAAAGGTGTTGGGCCAACATGAGGCGTTAGAACAGCGTCTGTCCTCCTCCTACCCTGTAGTCCGCTCCTGAAATTTCCCTTATTGGTATTTATCAGTGTTTTACTATAGTATGATGGTATCCTTGTAAAGTGAACATTTAAGTGACGGCGAAGACCGCAGGATATGAACTGCATATGTCTCTCATCATCTCATCATTTTAGTACCAATCAGCCCCCTCATGTCCTGTATGGAACCATCTGCATTAATCTTTTATTCAGGGTTTTCCTTTAAATTGTCGCCCATCTTTACATGTCCTACTTTTAACTAAACAAAGGACGGGAACAGGCTCCACTCGCTGTCTTTGTATTTAGCCTCTTGAAATTCTTTAGGATGCTACAGTCCCTGCCAGGACCAAAAATCAATTGAAATCACATTTAAGATGATGAGCACTTACAAATTTTCTTCTTAATTTTTTTTTTTTTTTTAATTAGCTCATTAACAACAGTCCACTAGACACACTGATATTTCCACCTCTGCCTTCATCAGTGTGTGTGTGTGTGTGTGTCTGTGTGTGTAGAAAAATGTAAGAAGAAAATGTGAGAGCTCACCCTAAATGGGATGACTTGGCTTTTATCAGTCACTAAGTGTAAATTGAAAGGGAATCCTGAGGGAGAATTAGGAAAGTTCATTTTATGGGAGACCTGTCTCCTCCAATGAAACACATTTCATTGGGGAACTGTGAATTTGCTGTGTTTCAGTTGCCCGCTGACTTGCTTTCAGATGTGTATGGTTAGGGAGGTTCAGATCAAAAGAAACCAGGCATTCCTGTAGGAAATAAGGTCACATTTGCAGTCTATGATATTGAGTGACCGATGCTTGCTTGTCCAAAGGTGTAACCTGGCGCCAGTGGAGGAGTACTCTCGGGATGTGGGGCGGCGTACCAACTTGGTGACCATGAACCCCTCGGTGGTGCAGCGGGCCTTCATGGACCTGGTCAGTGAAGAGTGGAGGGATCGATTCCTGCAGCGGCTTCAAAGCCTCAGCGGCAGCGTGCTCTGGATCCCGGCCTTCATGGCCAAGGGGGGAGAGGAGCGTGTGGAGTGGGCCCTCCGTCTCATCCTGCTGCACACTGTGGACGTGCGCACCGCCTTCCCCTCGCTGCGCCTTCTCCACGCTGTCAGAGGGTAAGATGCAGCTCAGGCTCCCGGTGTGCTGCGTCCCATAAGAATACCTGTGAGCAGCATAATCAAGGGGGCTGGTGGCAAAGTCTAATCTGCAGCTCAGCTGGCTATTTTTAAAAGGAGTATTAAGGCTGATCACCAGGGGCAGCCAATGTGAGAAGGCTACTCTGTCTCCTCACCCGAATCGTCTCACCAAATCCGTCTTAATGAAGTATAAAATGTGTGTGTTGATTCTAAAACAAATGGCATAATTCAGGTTTTATTTGTAGACAAGGATCAGTTGTGGCTCTCTTTAAAGGAATAGTTTGACATTTTGGAAAATGTATTTATTTGCTTTCTTGCAGAGAATTAGATGAGAAGATCAATATCACTCCCACTGTTTGAAAGGGGGGAAAGCTTCGCCTGGCTCTGTTCAAAATGTTAAATTATACCTACCAACAGCTATTGTTGTGTCATGTTTGTTTTAGAAATGTAACAACACCAGTGGTCTACAGCTCTGAGGCTGTAAATGTAACTACTAACAAATCTCATAGTTGGGTGTGATATGTGACAAAGGAGGTATAATGTTTACAGTGTTCACCATCTTAGCTTGGCATGGTAGCATGCTAACATTTCCCAATTCTCACTAAACAGCTGAGGCTGATGGAAATGTCAAGATTTGTATTTGGTTATAAACTGAAGTATTGGACAATTTTTCATGTCCTGAATTCATTCTGAGGAGGATATGAATATATGTCAACCTAATGATGGTGCCAGAGGAAATGGGTTTGCCAAAGTTTGTGGGATTTATCACCTGAGGAGAATGAATGAATTTATAAAAATGCCATGACAATTCATCCAGTGTTTGATGAGATATTTTATTTCCTAGGACCAGCGTGACTAAAAACAACAAAACTACTCCTTTTGAATTGAGGCTTATTTCTCCACTGTTTGACCAGGTGTTCATCCTTGACTTTTTACACTGATGTTGACACTGATTTGAACATTTTATGAAAATGCTTTCTAATGAAAATATGAATTTCTGCAGAGATCATTAGGTGTCAGGTTGCATGCTCATTCGTCAGCTCCAAATTATTTAGATTCTGTTGTTGACAGGCCTCTGCAGGGGCTCAGGAATAGCACAGATAATAAGCAAAGTTCTTAAAGCTGTGGTATAACAGGACTTGTTTGGTGTGTACTTTTTGTTAATCTTTATTATTTGTGTTGATTTAGTTTAGAGCCGGTCAGGGATCTTGAGCTGTGCTTTTTGCATATCTGTCAAATCCAGCCTCCACTGCCTTCAGGCTTTTATAAAATCCCTCTCTGCTATTTTTTTTTTTTTTTTTGCTGTCCCTGCCTCCCTCTCATCACCACCAGACTCTGCTCCGGATCTTTCCTGCCTCGTTAAAAACCTAACAACCACTGCTGGTCAGTGACCAAATTATGCCATTTTATATGCCCCAACTAACACTCGCTATTGCAAAAGGGTAGAACTGGGCCATGATTTTGATTCATGTAGTTCACAGTCTGTGAGATCTGATTTCACCAGAGAGGAAATGATTTCCCTGACTTTCTCTTACAGATGAAAACACATGTCTTTGTCCTTTTTCTAGTGGTGTCTGATAAATGCTCCCTCTGACTTTGTCCTTTTCTCTGTTAGGCTGAACTTTAAATCCCCATCGTCTACAGTAGAAGACAAAGGTTCTGCCTACATTCATTCCAACCAAACACCATATCAGATCCTTCCACTGTTAATTAGACCTTGCTCTCTGCTCTGGTTGTTGGGATACTGATCACCTGCTGTAGTGTGTGTGTGTGGCTGGATTGTAAACCTGCCCACTATTTGCCCTTCATGGCACATGAACTGCTTTAAATAGAACAACCTCTACATCTCAATACGACCTTCCACACTTACCAAAGAGCATGTTAGGAAAGCTGAGGGGGGGCGGCAGCGGCAGCGATAGCCTCGAGCCTGAAAAGAATTGGCCAGTGACTGGAAAGGAAAATGAAGTTTGAGCAGTGAGCGTTTGACCACCTGCACCTGAAGTGGCTCCCAAGGGAGACATGTGGCGTCTCCCTGTCATAGGAGCTCATAGGTCACCTAAAGTAGAAGAAAGCAATTGTGCTGAGCAGCTTCAGTGTGTGCAGTTTTTTTTTTCGACGTGTGGCAGTAAAATAACACATGCTCAGCAAACAGCCCGCAGAAACAAAATCCACCTGAACCTGTCTCAAATGTGTAGCCTTCAGGGGTTGCTTCACTTACAATTAAAGCTCTGCCAGTGTGGAGAGATAAATCGTTCTTCTTCACTAAACAGTTTCCATTATTTCTTGTGTGTCTTTTGTCTTGACACTAGACAGATATAAATATAAATCAGAAATAATTTGTTTCTTTGATGGCTGCGCTGATATCAAGGAAATTGCACTAGATTCAATATTCTTGAGCCAGTATCTTTTAAATTGGAAATGTGTGGAATGACCTTGTTTTTCTGCTTTTAGAATAGGGCTGTGAGTGACGATTATTTGAAGCCTCAATCTGTGGATTTAATCATTGAACCAAAAGGAAAAACAAAAAGTAAGAAAACAGTTTAAAAAAAAAAAAATGCTAAGTAGCAAATCCTCCCATTTGAGAAGCAGCAACCAGATATTGTTTTTTTCGTCACAAATGCCTCTCGATGAATGAGTTAAGACATGAGGTTTTACGGCTACAAGACTAAATGACTTGTTTAAGGGTTTTTTTTTTTGCAGTGCATCCACTGAGCAGGAAGAAGAAGAAGAAGGAAAAAAGGTCACGTATTGATCTGTGAGCAGACAGATCTTTGAAGGGACAGTCGGTCTGCAACACAGAAACATGCTCTGAATTTTTACTTGTGACTTTTTAGAATTCAGCTCCTCTCTGTTTGCTCCGGCATCCTGTTTATCTGACTTAATGTCAAAACCCAGAGGGAGAAAGGTCTTACTCAAGGAGATGAGTGTTGCTTCCAAGTGAATACTGACTTCAGTGTGCTAAATAGAAAAGAGCTCTGGGGACCTTGAACATTTTCTACTTTTTACTGTCCTTCTACTTTAGCTAATGACACACTGTGTCTCTTTGTCAACAGGTATTGGCTCACCAACAATGTCCACATCAAGCGTCCAACCACTGGCCTCCTCATGTACACGATGGCCACTCGCTTCTGCGAGGAGATCCATCTTTATGGCTTCTGGCCCTTTGCACTCGACCCACAGGGCAAACCAGTTAAATACCACTACTACGACACTCTGAAATACGAGTACACGTCCAGCTCCAGTCCTCACACCATGCCTCTGGAATTCAGGACCCTGAGCACATTGCACAGACAGGGGGCGCTCCGGCTCCACACTGGGACCTGTGATGCGGAGAGGAGACCACAGAGGGAGCTCCAGAGCAAATAGCTGGATGGAAGATCACCATGGGAACTACTCTCTTGACTGAGAAGACTTTATACAAACAGTTTACTTGTTACTGTACTTTTATGAAACTTGAATTAACTTATTTTCAGTAATTGGAATGAACTTTATTTCTATTTTGAGCTCTTGTAGTGACTCATTTCACTGGTGTGTTTTACCTTTTTAATGAGATTTCTATGGCAACCTTTAAAAATAATGAGACCGTTTTTGTCCAGCTCCCTTTTGCTGGTGTGACCCAAATGTTCACAGGAGATGCTGTCATGTCCATCTGTTGGCCCCTTCCTTGGACAGCCAACGACCTTAAAACTAAGTTCCCAGCATGGTTATCAGTTCCCAGCATGGTTATAAGTTATGAATTAAGGATTCCAAACACATATTTGTTTGCAACTCATAAATGAGTCATGAGTTGCCATAAATTTAATATTCTCAGTTTATGATATGATAGGGCTTTCATTAATTGTGTGTTTTTATTTTACCCAGAATGTGAACAGCATGAAGAGCTGTTGAATTAATTGTTCCTGTGGGTCACTGGTTGGGCCACAAGATGGAAGCACTTAATACTGAGGGAGAATGATGATAAAGGAAAAAAAAAACAAAAAAACATTTGTTTTTAGTGTGAAGAACCCTTTTGATTCGGCTCTTTATAAAAGAGTTGATATATTTAACTTGTGATAACTCCTGATAGAGAACATTTTACATGTATGCTTTTGTAGCTTCTTATAAAGTACCTTTTAAAACAGGTCATTCATAAGCAAAAATTCCAAAAGCCCAGCCACCGAGAACAGCTGTGTGATAATGTTCGGTTACCTAGAGAGCCAAATGAAGAAACGCAAGCATGTTGAATTGTATTCAACTCCCTGTGAGGATAAAGGAGGAGTGTAGCAGCTGTTCACATAGAAATGTTTACACAGACTCAGTAAACCCACTTTGTAAACTTTTCTCAAAGAAAACCAGCCCTGTTTCTGCACTGGAAATGTTAGTATCTAGGTCAGATTGTAGTTGTATGGTGGTATTAATAGGAGCTTTGCATTTAAAAAAAAAAAAAAAAAAAAAAAAAAAAAAATTTGTAATGAATGTATTGGTGATTTTCTTAAAAATGCTGTAAGAAATGATTCCCATAATGTGCTTTAAATGGACTCCAAGTAACAGTTATCAGTGGTTTCAGTGCACTGAGAGGAGGAAGAGCTGATAAGTATGTATGCCTTTATTCAGTTGAAATGATTTATTAATTATACATGTAGTGTGTTGGAGTTAGTATTCAAATATAGGTTGATGCAGATATTTGCTAATTTGATGAAGCTGCCAGTATTTGTGCCTGTAGAAAAATTAATTAGACCTTTTTTTAAATTGGAACATTCACATGCCCAGAAATAAAAAAATGTTTATCCAAGTTATTCTTGACAGGGTGGGAAACATGGAAAAATAGAGCTACATGATTGTCTTAATAGTGTTACTCACTTCTGAAACCCAGATATGAATAGAGACAAAAAAAAAAACAGAACAGAATGTGCAAAAAAGTTTGTTTTATTACAGGTCTGCAGACTTGTTTTTATGTAGTTGTCTTCAGGAAAGAAACGAGGCCAATACCACACTGATTTTTCAAACTAATACATCACTTTAATGCTAGTTTGGTTAATATTTTTTTGCTTCCAAGCTCCACCTCAGTAAAAATCTCAAAGTTTTTTTGGGTTGTCTTGACACTGGGCCTTTTGCCAAACATTGTGGGTATTTTTCTGCAACAAAATGCCTCTGTTAATAAAAATTAACAGGAGTATTTGAAATATTCCAAGCGCTCTGTAGCTAAACAAGTCGCCTCTCATGTGCTCCCAGCCATGTGATTTGTCCATGAAAGTGTTGTTTTGACAGGATGTGCCTGTTGACTTGCATGTTGGCCTTATTACGTTGCCAATTAAGTTAAGAATAGACATGAAAGTTGTACTAGAGACGTCAGCAGTTTGAAGCGATGAAAGCTTTATTTGTGAAAACTCGTCTGAGCTTGGCAAAAATAGAAACATTCTGTGACCAACACTACTAAGTTAATTAACCCAGAGTCTGGAATCTGCCTCGGTTTAGAAAACTTTCTACTGACACGTACAGGTAGGTGACAGATTCAAGGAAAATGGGAGTAAATGAGCGGAGAGATGCAGTGAATGCAGATGCTTCCATACAGGGCACAAGTGGGCCACTAAATCAGAATGATGTGAATCATATGCTATGGCCTTCGCCGTCACCAGATCTCAACCCAACTGAGGCCTGTGGTTGATTTTAGATTGACGTCTTTGGCAGCACGCCACACCACTGTCATGAGAGAATATATTTTGGAGGAACTGGGTTCATCCCTCCAGGAGAGTTTCACAGATTTGAGGAATCTATGTCAGGGTCACCGCCGCTGAAGCTGCCCTGGCGGCTCGCACTGGCCCAACACCTCACTAAGAGACTTAATGCTGTTTTTTTTCCTTTAATCTGTCACCCATCTATAGTTTCCGTTGTGAAACTCTGGTTGTGTTGTTTAATCTCACGTTTTCTCATGTATACTTGTATGTTAACGTGTTTAATGTCCATATTCCAGCAAACAAATGTTACCTTTTGCATGTCTGTCTTGTCTTAATGCATACACTTAGTGTATATTTCAAATTTTGTTTTCAAAATCTTCTGAATGACTCAAGGACACTTAAATTGTGCAGTTATGACAAAGTGAATGTACTTTTATGTAGCAAAAAATACACAAAAGATTAGAGTGGAAAAAAATAACACTTCAGCCTCATCCTTAAAATGATTTAACACTTCAAAGGAAGCAGTTTTATTTCAGTAGTGTTTCAAAGAAATGGAAATTGAGGAAACAGCCGTGGGTACACATAACATCTCTCTGACAGAAACCAAGCAGGGACGTGTTGCCAATAAACTTCGAAAACAGTTTGAACATTTAACTGTTTCTGGTTTAAATGTGGGATCAGAGAAATTAGCTACAATCTTCAAATAGGCACCACACTGACTTTGATTCATTTTACAAGAGGAACTTTCTGTAGCAGATGATTCAGTTCTAATAAAAGTCCAGAATTAACATCTTGATGAGCAGGGTTTTTCCACAATTTCACACACAACAAATGATAAAATAAAAGATGTTGACAAGATGGAAGAGGAGAACAGTACAAGGGTGACATAGTCGCCTGAGACAAATTTAGCAGAGGCACAAAAAATGGATCTGCAGTTTTCTGCACGGACAGTGAAAGACTCAAGTTAAACATGACACACAATAGTGAAGTGAACAGTGGTCATATTGTCTGAGGAAAACGCACATAAAATAGTCAACAGTCTGATAATTGTACTGTAGAACATTATATCAAAAATACGGTTTAAAATTTGATTCACATATGACTCAAAGAATGATTGAAGAACCTTATCAGACATTTACACACTCTCCTGCATACCGCTTGTATATTAAACAAAGACACAACATGTATCCAGTCTTCTGTGAACGTCAAGAACTTGTTTTTAACAAAGAGGAAATACGCAATGTTCTTTCTCCTGGAAAGAAAGTGGCTGAATAGGTTGTATAAGATTGGCCAATGCAGTTTCTTTTCTTTCTTTTTTTTTCTTATTTAAGCAGGGATGGAGGTCATTTGAAAACAGCTGCACCTGTAGGCCACGGTGCACTATCAAATCACAGTTTGGATTAAAACAGAAGGTCACCTACAACAACCACACTGACATTTACTGCAGAAACCTAATCTAGGGGCACTCTGCATTATTGTTAGTTTACTGTAATTACATTTAGGGTTCAGACAGAGACATGCGAGGTTTGTGAACTCCTCTGCTAGTCCTTTCATTTATTTTGAATCGGACCTCTGGTTAATTATTGTGTATTTGGTATTTGAATTAAACATAACAAATATGACAAAGCAGTCCTTCATTATTCATAAGAGTGACTTCATACTTATTTAATAGGGAAAATGTTTTAATTATTTGTCAGAATTTGGTAAAACCTCCATTTTAGATGGTCAGTACCAGTGTTTACAAACTGCATAGAAGCCTATGACTGTTGCCTTTACTTACTTTGGTTTTACTTATTGTAGATACTTAGCTAATGTTTGTACTGATTTGTCTCAGCCAGCTTCCTCTGCATCTAAACGTCCACATTTGAGCTCAAGAAAATCACGCTTGAGGACAATGGCTGATTTTTGAAAAAATATTCAAAGTATTAAACCCAATTGAAGAAATAGAGGCCCTCTTTACCAGAGTCTGTGTGGCACAGAGAAGCAACTCTTCAGGAAAAAATGGCCCTTTTCAAGTTAAACATTACAATAATCAGTGAGCCATTAATGGAAATTATTGCAGGGGATTTGACATAATTCTGGACTAGCTGTTCACATACTCTCTCAAACAAGAGATACCAGATTTTGTGGGTCATTCTTAGTTAAGCAACTTGACATTATATGGAGATATAAAATCATTTTGATTCTAAGTAAGACACTGGGTGCGCGTTGTGCATGTCAGATACTGTAACTACTTCACTACAGTCTTTAAACCTGTGGTTGATAATGATTAGTGGTTACTCGATCAGATGAAACTCTCACATGATTGAACACACCTGATCACAACAGAGTACAGCATTCACATTCACAGCAGATGGATGTATTCCATAAATACCTTACAAATATATACTGACGATATTCTTCTAGCTTTTTAATCGAATGTGAAAATGTAAAACTTCAGCTGAGATAGCAGCAAAATAGGAATGTCTCAAAACACAGTAAAAAAATATATACGCTTACTCCATACATAAGGACAGAAAGCCTTTGACAGTGTATATGCACAATAAAGTGGTTAGTAGATAGAGATATGTTTGGTATTAAACTTGAGTTAAAAATATCAATTACTGTGTATATAACTAGATTCTTCATAGTGTGCAAATTTTATATCTGAATAAAGTATTCTCTGCACAATATTTGTTGGATGCTAACATTTTGTGCATCAACTGATGGTCTTCAGTGGCCACCAAGTATTTATTTAAGTATTACATATTAAATCATAAATAGATGTGATTAACCCTGCATTCTTCCAAGGGTGGATAATAGATTTAAAGCCTTGATTCCTACATAAACTCTTCAGTACTGTAGCTCAAGTGAAAAAAAAAAAAGTCAGACAATGTAAGAAATAAAAATATTTCCATGTAGTGATTTGTTATGGAGATGACTGAACTCCAAGCTGCCGACAGCCTGATTGCTATATGACTTTTGAGGAGAGGTCATGACATGGATGAACATCCTGATCTTTAATATTGGAAAGAACTGGGCAGGACATTTGTGCAGCGTGATAGACGCGTCTATAAAGCAGCAAACAATGACATCCAGTCCTTTAAACACAGATAAAAAGCCATGCACAAGCAGCGGGTGAAGTTGCTGATTTGGTAAGACTTGACAATAAAAAAAAGAAAATATAGGAAATCACTTGAGTTGTCCCGGGGAGAGCAGGAGTTATCAAATAATGACGTCCACGCTGGGATTCACCTGCCCAAAAAAACAAAAAGTGAAAACTAGTTTAAAAGAGTTACTTTACAAGCAAGTGGCAATCTGGTGTTACTGTGCATATGGTGAGGAGAAAACATGTTCGTGTCCTGTCTGACTTGGAAGTCAAGAAAGTCAGGAAAACAGGACGTCATATGTTCCTTTGAGGAAGTGGTTGTGTGTTAAAGAACAATTGAACGGACGGAAGGGTGAAACCTAAAGTCAACATCACATTTAAAGTAAAACAATGTTTCTTTAAAATAGTGTGCTTCTCCAAGAAACACACTACCTATACTTTAATGCAATTATTCCTATTCAGTAGGTGTGGTTTTGTATTGCATCTCAACACTTTCAGACTTCAGCAGCAGTAAGAGCTGTAGCAGCTGCTTCAAGAACAATGACTTTGGCACAACTCTGGTGCCACCCGACAAAGTCTCATAGTCAAAACAGAGTAACAAGTTGCTTTACATAGGCAAATAAAGGTTAAAATGTTTGATGACCACAATGGTAACAAGTAAGATAAGTAGAGGCATTGAGAAAAAGGCTGTCAGACTGGTAATACTAGGCAATATAAAAGTACTAAATATAAATGGTCCATTTTTTTTTTTAAATAATCTGCACTGACCTTTTAAATTTAATTTGTTGGATGGAGTCAAGCCCCTACAAAGAAACACTACAACATTTTTAAGGACAAATATAAATACGTCCCTGTAGAAATAAAGAGCTATTGTGCAGTGCACATGACAGAGTAGTTTATAATGACCTGATTACACACACAGTGGTCAGTACCTCCACTGTTACAGTGTGTGCACCAAATCCATAGGGAATCATAGGCCTAACTTCTTTGATACGTGCAGAACATTCTCAGTGGGTATAGGCCACTGAGACCAAAGTTTTCTTTGGTCTACGAATGACATGGATATCTGTTGCAGGGACGTCTTTTGCTTGGGGGATTTAAACTGAACAAACCTGTATTTGACATCAAATAGAGTTGAGTCATCCTCATCATCGTTCTCCTCATTAAGCGGGGCCATCTCAACGCGCTCTGCAGGCGTCGTTATAATGTCATATTTTCGTGTTTTTCTGATTCGCCTCCCAGATCTGTGGGAAGGAGAACAGTGCCAAACGTGAGACAAGCACAAGAAATAAAATCACACCATTTAGGATGACTATGCCTCCAACTTTAGCTATAAACCTAGTTTAGTTTTGCCAGCTGGAGTAGATTTAATTGGTACCTTCTGAGTTCTTATACAACCATATTAATGCTCATGCTGGCTGTTAGTACAGTCCTAAAAGCCTAATGTTTTCCTCAGATGAAATACTGAAGCAACTATTAAATCGACAGAACGTTAATCACCATCAACTGAGATGATCGATTTGTTACCTATCAACCAAAATACAAGAAATACTCCAGAGCTAGCCTCATAAATGTAAACATTTGCATTTTTCTCATGTCTTTTATTTCACTGTAAAGCCATATGCAGACAGCACATTGGGCTCTAGGAACTTGTGATTGCCACTTTCCATGTGTAGTGACATTTTATTGACAAAATGATTACTTGTTTAATGAGAATATTAATCGAAAAGATTAATCAACAATGAAAATAGGCATTATTTGCATCCCTTATATAGGCCTACAATGTAAACTGAAAACCTAAAATAAGTTCTTTGTGATCAATGCACTTAATACTGTGGTGAAGACCATACATGTATAACAATATATACTTCATGTTAGATATCCACTGATTAGATTCACAGGTCACATAAGACTGAAAAACAACCCACATGAGGCATTATATCAGGTTAGGCTACTACTCACAATACAATTCCCTGTAGGCACATCATTAATAGGCCCAGACCTTTCCTGTAGGCTTCCACCGTCACATGGAACCTAACACAGCCACATGCTCCCAATCGATTAATTTACCAGGAACAGATTTCAAAGAGCGATCACAATGTGACTGCATCATTGTGAGGCTGGTTGTTATGGGCCTTAGGGACATACAACCATCTAGCCTAATAGAAAACCTTTGTATCAACCTGCCTACCTGACCACTTTGATGACCAGGCATGTGATGAGAGCAGCTGTTAACACGCAGATGAAAATAACAATGTTTTTCAGAGTTGGAAGATGCGTCATTAGAGATGAAATCCGGGATCCCACGGCAGCATCTGTGACATTACTTGTCAGTTCATCTTCGCTGATGGTGGATGATGATGATGTTGAATTTAACTGCATCGCTGGTGAGGAGTTAGTTTGAGGTTCGCCGCTAACCCGCCAAAGAGCCGCGATAATAAAAGTTAAAGCCAGACTGTATGTCACCATGGTGCTGAAAAATGAAAACGCAAGCTGGATGTTCAATAAGTCGTTTCTCCAAACTAGATGAAATGCGACAGCAGCTGTTACATTATAGAGGATCAGCTTATCAGTGTCAGATTTTGCTGTATACACAATAAAGCAAATATGAAACGCAAATATCCATGTCTCTACCCGTCCAAGCTTTTCCTATTGGTGAACTTCTACGTCGTAACTCGCATTTGCCTCCAAAACCCGTTTTCCTTGAGGTGAGTTATAGAAATTCCTTCCTGATTGCATTAGACTTCGTGTAGAAATGGGGATTATCCGCCTCAGGAAGAGCTCTGCAAGCTGGCCCACTGTTCCTGGTGCTGAAGAGAAGGAGCATTATGTGGGCTTGTGTTGCCTTCAAGACAGCCTCGTATTTCCTAATTGCTACAGACCTGCTGTCATTAAAAAGGGGCGGATGTTTGGTAGCTTGTGCTGAAGGGCACATTTTTTTCTTGAAGTGTGTTTGTAATAGGTGGAGAGATTAAACTTTACTGATCCCCGCAGGAACAATTCACGTGTTACAGCAGTTTAAAAGCAGAAGAAAAAAAGTGAGTGATGAAAACTATTGTACATAGCCTACTCTATGTGCACTTATCACATATACAGATATGATTGGCTGGCAATACACACATGATATAAAGTGTTAAGTGTTTTATTATTTATACTGATGTTGCATCATGTCAACATCGTGTCTCCCACATCACTAGAATAATACAGAGGACACGGCCATGGTGTCGTCAATGGTAGTGACAGCCCTGTTTAGAGTAAACCTTATACTTAAATTTCTTGCGTATCACTGAATTGATCCTTTTGCTGAAGAGCCATAGCCCTAAAGAGATACCAACCAACAGTTTTGTAACACATTATTTTTGGTATTCTTAGACATAAGGGCCTATGGTCCGATCTTATTTATGAATACAGCAACATCTAGAGGATACAGGTCGATATCCTACATCTACATAAAGATGTCTAATGACAAAACATTGAAACACTTGGTGTCACAGATCTTTACCACTTCACTGCACATTTAGGGTCAGCTGGGAGTTAACACATTTCCGACAGTATTTGAAGGCAGCATTTCTCTGTTTACCCATGGGCCATAGCAGACACAATTTTCCAAGGGCAGCAGACTCCCGGGTCAAGACCGCAGATTCCAAATAAAATCTTGACGAGACAAGACAGTGTTAAGCAGTCAATTGATCAGTGACGGTGATAATCATTCAGCATATCCACTGGTATAAACACAAACAACAACACAAAATCAATCTCTGTCTTTTGTCTAGACACACAGACAGACACAGTTTTATTATTTGTCCCCATTTTTATTTTCACTAGACATTAGGTTACTGAACTTGGTAGACCATCACTACAAACAATCCCTCAGATGGTTAGTAATTACAGGGAATTTGCAGTAAAAAAAAAAACTACTTTAGAACGACATCAGACTCATTTAGCATTTCTTGTAGTGTGCAAACATGTAGGGGCTCCATTTATTTGAAAATAACGACAGGAGAAAGCCTGTTTAGTTTTGTCTGGTTATGATGTCTAGTCTCATTTCTGTACTCCCACTACTGGGAGTGCTGACCTTCTACTGCACTCATGTATGTGAGAGCTATTTGGTTTGATCTAAGCCCACCAGATGGCAGCACAAAGTAACAACAGAGCCAGCATTTTCCTTCAACCACAGGTTGAAATTCAGCTCAGATTAGTTTGAGTAGACCTTAAGGATCTCCTAACATCACTCAGTTAATAAAACTGTAGCTTTAATTCATTTGTGAGGAGATATGTTACAGTATTAAGACCGATGAACTTCTTAGGGAGGAATATACTGCAGACTAACATGCATACAAACCCACAGTCATAGTCTGCCATAAAATACCTGTGCCTTAGCTATATCTCGATTTTGCATGGAGATTGATTGCTCATTGAGCAGAATTTCCCTCTGTGAAGCATGATTTGGTTTCTACAAAGGAAGATACTAATCTTTAGCTGAATGTGGTTGCCACATTCTGAGAGGACGGCCTGACCTTTGCACAGAGAAACAGCTCTGACTACAGTGATCATGTTACATTGTTTTAAACAACACACAGCTTCCTGGTTTTTATGCCTAAGTTTCAGTTTAGCTATCAAACATACATTTTAGAAAAACTCAATGTAGACGACAAAACAGTCACAGAATTTACTGACAGAGATTTTGAAATGTGTTGCTTTTGTAAGACATGCTTTACCATTAATTTCCACACTCTGACAATTTGACTCTCAGGGTGTTTGTTGAACAACATAAACACACCAGCATACAGAATCATTTGTCCTGCTAAGTGAAAAGTAAACATAAGAACACAGCCTCCCTGTTCTTATGTCAACTGTGAAAGGTTATTTGGGACTTTAACACGTATGCATTTATCTGAAATTCATCACCTATGAATGCGATCCTTCCTGTTGTTGCTGTTTTTGCGGTGTGTCAAGGCACGCCCTTCTGCAACAGTGTTGTGTTTCATGATAAATCCTTGGTCCTTCTTTAATCTTGCTGCAGGTTAGTGTGAGTTCATAGTTCATAGATATCTGATAGTAAGTGATATCATACTATTGTAAACATGAAGTCCATGTACTGTAACAGCTGTCCCTGCTGACTACTGACTGAAGTCTGTACTTCTATATAAAATGGCAACCTGTAAGATACATTAATGACACATTTGCTTACAGTTAAATTCTTATATAAAAATACTATCAAGCGTAATTACAAAAAAACTGTCTGAACTATACAGATCGGTTGAATTTACCTTTGCTGTTGTTCTTTCATGCAGTACCAATAACAATAATTTGCTCAACACAATTAACAATCTGCCTTAACTGAAATGAAAAAAATGAAGAGGGAGAACTTCACTAAGCTTTTTGCTGCAACAACAATGACAGATAGTACACTTCCAATCCCTAAAAATAGTTTTATATTTCAGCAATCAGGTGACTGGTGAACAAACTGATAAAGGTGAAAGACTCTAGATTTTTTGTGATCTAAGATTTGGTGGATTCAACCAACTATGTTCACTTCACTAGTAATGTCTGGTTTTGTAATACACTTGCAGGGCACTCCTGTTGCTAGGCTGGGGATCTTTTTAAAGAAATCTTCCACTGCAAAGAGCATGCGCTGTTGAGACCAACACCTCATTGGCCAGCAATGGGGGTGGAGTGCATACCACACTCTCCATACACTGTTCAACAAAGGCTGCACTGACTGAACAGTCAAATTTTGCCAAGTTTGGTTGTCCCCATTAGACTTCTGATTCTATTTGTTCAAACTTTTTCAGATAAGATTAGTAATATGATCCATTTAATTTATTTGGTCAATTTGCCACAGTCAAGGCAGGTCTCTGTAAAGCATCTAACATTGCCTTTGTGTTTGGTTTAAAAACCAGTCTTAACCCTGAAGCAGCTTTCCAGTTACACTATTACAAATCAAATCTGTAACAAAAATGATTCTTCAGTTCAATACAAAAACATTAATACCAACCAAACGAAAAACCCTCCTGTGCTTGGCATATCTTACTCTAGAATGGGGTGGTGCATGGCCTTAATCACTCTTTCATCACTGCTAAGTATGGCGATCAGGTAGCCTACATCTATATTAGGAACCAAGTCTGGTGTCTGTGAATTAACATGCTATTGATCATTTATTAGAAGCCCTGCACTTACTATACACCACCTGCCAAGGTCCAAATGAAGGAAAAGGTTTAAAGAAGGCACAGCCTATTATACACATAATATAATACCTAATCCTAACTGTGTTTTAACAGTGTTCCTGTATGGCTGATGAGAGGGAAGGTTGGAAGCAGGTGAAAATGTGCATATTTACAGTAGTATAGTACCACTTACTATGACACATAGGTGCCACTATGATTTTACAAAATTATACCTATTTTCCTTAAAAACTAGTTAATTTCAATTATTGGAAAGTCACACAGGTTACTTGTTGACAATAACCGGTAAATCTTAACTATTTGATTTTACGGCTTAACGTGGCTTTTTATACCTTTATAATAATAATAATAATAATAAAAAAAACGATATAAAACATGTTTTGATAACGTTACTTTGTGTTTTCTAAAAATGGTTCCAAATGTATTTCCTTGAGTTCGGGTTCCAGCAAGAAGAGTTTCAGTGCTTTTTACGGGTTCAGTGGGCTGCTAACGCTAGTTAGATGGGGCTGGAGAGGAAGTGGAGTTTGGCTTACGTTGAGAGGAAAGGGGGCAGAGCCGCTGAAGGATATCAGCTCAGGCAGAGGCGGAGAGGACACACACAACAGAGGAGCAAGGCGGTGAGGACGGAGAAGAGGAAGGGCGGAATGATGCGGCCGAAAGACCCACCAAAACGACGAAAATCGCCCAAAAATGTGGCACCGACCGGGGAAGATGACGGGGGATAGACACGGCCTGGATAATGGGTAAGAACTTAACAGTAATCGTGCATTAATAGCTGTAAAATACGAGCCAGGGGTGTATGGCAATATGGTGGAAAGAACGACAGTTAGACGCAGTGTTGTAAAAATGGCCATGGTGTGTTGTCAGCGAAGAATAAAGAACACGGTCTACAGAGTGTAAATTGCATATAATTGTGTTTTAGTTGATGAAATTTATATGTTTGCTAGCTCTGTTTTTAGTTAACTTAGTTCATATTTGGACAAGCACATTTGTTCTCGACCTGTTTGGAGTTATTTCAACCTACGCATTTAAAATTTGCTTTGTCCTTGAAAGGGCAAATGCCCTTGTCTGAATTTGCTCGACGAAAACACCAAAAATAAGCGAATGTTTCGTTTTTTAATTGATGTATTGAGACTGATTGACATCAATACAACAAGCTCGTGCATATTTTTGTTTATTTTCAGTATATATGCTTTTTGAGGTTTTTCATCGAATTATAAATCAAAAAAATATTTAAAAATCAATAGTTTTTCGCCTGATCTTACCACAGAGTGTACAAATGTAGTTTATGACAAGATTTAAGTAAGTGTTAGATGCTTAAAACTTATTATTTATAAATAGTTAAATAAATTGTGACAAGTTGTCAAAATGCTCAGAATATGACTATTGACAACTACTTTTACATTGTAGACACTATACTTAACTATACTTGATTTATTTGTCAAATAAAGGTTCTATATGTTGTAAAAGCTCAGATATACTTCGAAATACAAAATAGGGTGTTGGCTTTTAACCCTTTGGGGTACTGAATGGAGAGGTAATTTAAATATGTACATTAATTTTGTTTTTCCATGTTACATTATACCTGCAAGACATGTAAATAAAGATTTTATGTTAGAAAGCTTCA